GGTGGTAAACTTCTTACAGAACCCGGCTATTACCAAGACAATGAATGGGGCATTCGTCTGGAGACCATTTTGAGCGTCATCACCAAGGAAACCAAGGTGAGGAATACGCACACAGATAGACAGACAGACAGACAGAGACAACAACGGATACAGATAGATATGAGAGAGAGAGAGAGAGAGATTGAGGGAAAGGTATGTGTCATATATGTGTATAAGGCTGTACAGGCAGTAAGTATTGAGAGAAAGGGAAAGAGGAAGTTGGGAAAACGACGAGTGAGAAAGAGGGAGACATAAAGAGAATGAAATTGGTGCTGAGTCTGGCAACATGCTGCTTCAATATTTTGTGATCAGGTACATGAATGAGTACAAGAAATGTAAAAAAAAAAATAATATATATCTTTTTTTAATCAAATTTTCTTCATAAGCCAACTTCAAATGAATATGAATTGGTATAAATAATGTATGAATGTATAACCCGTTTTATCTTCCGCAGTACAAGTTCGGTGGACAGTGGTTAGGATTTGAGGCCATCACGCTGGTGCCGTTCGAATTCAAGCTCATCAATTCCTCCATGCTGAGTAACGTGCAGGTAAATATTTACAGACAGATAGATAGATAAATTGATTGATAGACAGTCAGATAGATATGTATATGTAAGTGTGTCTATAATCCTGTGGTGATACGAGAAAACAGTTTTGATTATTCATAATCTAAACTTTTTTTCAAAAACATTGGCTTAATTGTGAATTTCCATCCGTTACCGCGTGACAGTGTCAGTGGCTGAACTCGTACCACGCCCGCGTGCTCGAAGTCGTCGGGGCGGAACTTCGTCAACAAGGGCGTGTGGAAGCCTATGATTGGCTGGTGCTGAAGACCGACCCGCTCGTCTGCGCTCACGTGGACGAAAAGACAACTTCTACCACGAGGTCAACTTCGACCTCCACAGCGTACACTTCCACTTCCACCTCCACTTTGGGGACTACCACCAAGCAACATGCTTCCACAAGAACCATAGAGTACACCACCTCAGCCATTGCCACGTTCACCGAGGCGGCGGTGGTCGGCGGGAACGGCGCTCAGCCCTTCGCGCCTTCGCTGTGGCTGTCGGCCGCGGTGCTGGTCGTGTGTGCACGGAGCTGGCTGTTGTGGTAAATAGCGATGAACGATGGCGTTTTGGAAGCCATGAATTCAATGTTAATGAGTAAAGAAACATTTCGAGAGCAGTGGTGTCATCTAAGTAGAACATGAGTCATTCTCGTCATTTCTCATTGATGTGATTAAATTTTAGAGGTATATAATAAGCAGAAGATGCAGGATATTTCAAGTACAACTGCTGTATATAGTAACATGAGATTCTATAAGAGAGAAGTGATACTAATTCTAATATATGCTGTTAAAAAGTTCGTAAGAGACAGTACTGTAATATATTCTTCTTATTACGTGCTATGTAATGAAAATTGGGTTAAATGCCAGTGGTTTATGTGCTAAATTCAGTTTGTATGTACACACCATTGTAATAAGGTGCATTTTATTGTAAACTGAGTGAATGTTGCCTGAAGTTTATATACTTATGGTTGACTGTATTTAGTTTTATATTCCTGAGCAGACCATAATAGCATTTACTGGACTTTACACTAATATGCTTGTTATAAAGCAATGTGAAGGACTCCTCTGCATTCTATACAACCATGCAGTGTAAAGCAGTTACTCTGCATGATGATTCATCAGTATTTACATTTACTAATAAAAAGATCCTTTGGATATAGTTGCAGAAATTAACTGAGAAATTAGCTTTACATTTATCAGATCCGGGTACCAATGTTAAACTAGAATAGATCTAAAGAAATATAACTTCCAGAAAGCTGATTTTTTTTTTTACTTGTGGACATTGTGTGTATGGAGTCATTGCATTTATTTCATAGCAAATATTAAACCGAAAGTACTATCTCTAGTTTCGAGACAGTTGGCTCTTTTGTTCGAGAAATGCTTATTTTAGGAATATTCAAATTGCATTCAAATATCAGTATTACACTTTAATTATATTGACTGGATGAAAAATAATTGTTCAATAGCTTAAAAAGGCCTTAATATAACTCAGACATTCCAATATATGCTATGAACCTTACCCGCCCCCCCAAAAAATGATAACAAAAATCAACAAAGAAACTAAACAACATACAATAGAACCCAAACCAGAGGTTGTCCAAGCACCCCGTTGTCCTCTCTCTTCCAGACCCGCTTGTCTCTGTAATCCTGTTTACTCCTTTTGTTCTCTTCTCAAAATCTGGAAAGCACGTAAAATGCGGCTAATTACCCCCTGCCCCCCCCTTTTTTTTGTAAGGTAAGACAGTTGAATTTATAATTTCACCTTGAGCTGGATTTGAATCATTATGAAGTTTGCCAAAGATAAATAATTGGTGCGTTAACAGGATGGTGCAATTGCATTGTAGAGTGGCTTAAACATTGTAAATTTTTATATATAAAGTTCTTTGTTGTAACA